CTACCTTGCTTTAAGTCTCTTGTACCTCCCTTAAACCAGAGGACTCGCTGTGAGAACATGAAGTGTATAAAAGCTAGTTTGGTATTTAACCCACAGTAGACAACATGTAACGCAAATTTCATTCTCTTTGCCTCTCTGATGAGTCATAATTTTGTCATGAGTCAGCTGGTACCCAAAGTGCATCTTGGAGGTTGCAGCTCACAAAACCAGATAGGATAAGACGGGCCATGGTAACACATTAATGAGGCATGAACAACAGTCTTAATCATTCCTTTAGAGGCTTTGTTGTGTGTCTCAGATCCTCATTCCTAACACTGACCTTCATCCCACATGCCATGCGGCGAGGAACTAATGTACAATCTATTCTTCCTTGCCTCGGTTATATGTACTTAGAATCAAAAGAAAACAGACAAAAGTACAGTTGATCAATATTTCACATGTACCAGAAAAAAAAAATGAACTGCTTTCAAAATATTTATGTATCTCAGTTCCCACTATCTAACAAAAAGAATAAGCTACGCTGTTTCTTATTTCTACAACATTCTAGTTATGGGGCTATTGGCTACAATTTAGAATGGTAGATATTTTGATATTGACATTAAATACTAGATAAGCGATTTACTTTCTTTAGTACAAATATATTCAAATACTAAATAGTACATTGATATTAGATATTACTTAACTGTTAGCATTTTCCTAACTTTTCATCTTAAATCACATATCAAGAAGAAACTAAGGTGGACTCAATGAATATTGTGGTATAATATATACACTTGGCAAAAAATGAAGCATTTATCAATGGCAGCGCTGTAGAAAATAATCATAGCGGGAAAAGCAAATGGATTACAGAGAACCTAGCTAAATTCTTGCAGGATTAAAAACCAAAAAGACTCAGCCTGAGACTATAAAGGAAACCCACAGTGACAGCAGAAAGACTTGGTGAGGCTGGGCACAGATAAACAGCACAATTGTCTCCATCAGCGCAGAAGGAAATTGTTTTCTCGGCTATCCACATGTTTTCAAATTAGGAAGGGCAAATTAACTGAAAATATTCCTTTAATTAATATACAAGAAAGTCTGTTTCCTGGCAGAATAGAAGAATGCATTATTCGGGTCTGATATTCATGCTAATAGAGAATTAGTGTTAAAGTAATTAAAACAGATCATCTAAGTCAACCTGAAAAGAGGTCATAATTCGATGGGATTATTGGGGTGCAGTGAGAAGTAGGAGCTGAGGCCCAGCTGTAGGAAGTAAATCATGGGGGACACACCCTTGAAATGTTAGCCTTGTCCTCAGTCCCTCCTTCTCTCTGCCTCCTGGCCACCATAAAGTGAACAACTATCCTGCATACGGCCTGGAGCTATGGTGCTCTGCCTCACTATAGGCCTAGAAACACAGACAGTGACCATGGACTGGAATCTCTGAAGCCATGAGACAAAATAAATCTCTCCTCCTTTGATATTTCTAATTATAATGACAAAACTGACTAACACACATGGTCTGTGCCTTTTTAGAAATTCTCATCTTTGCTACATTAAAGCAGCTAAGCCATGTGACAAAAGATTCACGATGTAAATAAAAATATTCTTGATCTCAGAAAGAGTAGAATAGAACTCTCCTGCCTCTTACCCCTGAAGAGAAAGAGAAGACCACTGGGGACAAATCCCAACAACTGCCACCTACCAGTCACCAGACCATCTTTGAAGTTCAATCTGCTCATCATAATGACCTCAGTCTATCCTCTAGGCATCAAAAATGTTACATGTAAACTTGAAGGTATGAAGCCAATAAAATTCTAGCCAAATTTCATTGTACATATTAAGGGCCTCAACAGTTAGTCAGAGATGCACAGTCATAGATACATATGCCTACAAGTGCCTGGACTATTTTGGAAGGATGCATAAGAAAATATTAATAGTTATAGGGTAGGCTATGTAAGTGGGAGTGTGGAATGCAAAGAGCCCTACTTTCACACTCCTTGGCAAGGTTTAATTGTTTTAAATCACATGTATATGTTTCAAATAAATCTAATTTAAAATAGTTCATCTAATTTTGCAGTATCTTTAGTTTTAAATGCCATTTATTAAATGTTTGTTTAATTTAGCATTAAACGGGAAAAAAAAGTAATACTCCGCTGTCTTCTTTTTTGTCACAAAAACAAACTTCAAAACAAAAAAAAAGAGGCACTATTACTCAGTGACGACCCTTACAAGAATATAAACCGCATGCCATTCATATAGTCTGGGGGCGGGGCTTGCTTATTTTGACACCGGGTATGGCTGTGTCCAGGAGGCTACACTGGAAACCAAGATCCTCCTGTGTCAACCTCTTGAGAGCTGAGTGCCAAGCTTGAATGATCACATCCCCAGGATTTCAAGCCTGTAGTGGTACACCTGGAAGCACAGAGCAATCTCAGAGTGGCAAAACTGATGCAAGAATTTGCAAGTCCTTATACTTCACGAACTGCATTTTTCACAATATATAAAGAACCACTGCTTCATTTTAAACTACCTTACAGTGCCTATTTTCATACACACAGTTTCTCAGGTAGAATCAATATCTTGTAACCCAAATGTACTTATTTCCTAATTGTGTACGTACGATGCTGTTGTTTCAAGACAATATGATTTCTGACTTGGAGTATTAAAAGAAGGCTGTTTCTCTTTTATCCAAACTCACATCCAGAGTATAACTCTCTTTATGAAAAAGCCACAAAAATAAACTACTTCAGGTTGTTTGAAACTACCATCCACTTTTAACACAGAAATCTCCCTGTAGCTTTTAAATTTCCATGGGCCCAGGTTTGGGAAAAAGCGTAGATGGTGCTTGGAGCTGGGTGGATTTGAGCACAAACGCTGGTACTGGTTGCTTGGGAAAGAAGACACGCATTACACATTACGCAGCGGCTGCTCGGTTTAGACCTAAGCAAGCTTTCTGAACGTATGAGCCTTCCCAGGAAGTCAGGAAGTTGAATAGCAGTCCTTCCTCCACTGTCCTCTGCGGCGTGTTGTGTGTATCCACATGTGCTCTGCCAAGATCAACTTTAATCTCACATGTACGCGGTAATCACACAGATCTACGCTAAGAGGCCCTATTCCAGAGCCAGGGCCAGGGGTCTTACCTGAAAAAAAATTACTCCAAAGGCATGCACCCAAAAGATGAACTTTCAAACACGGGAAACAAGTTCAAAGTGGAAGATAAAAATAAATAGGGGCGAAGAAAGGTTTACAGTTCCTTGGCAGATGGATAAAGGCAAATCCTCTGGGGGTGCTAGGGGAGTCTGGGAACGTTTTCCCGGATGTGTGTTTTCTGCAGCGCGAAAACTCTGAGCTCTTCCTTCATCCTTTCTGAGCTGCAGCGTCCGCTGCAAACTCTGCCTGCCTGTCTGCAAAGTTCAAGCGGTTCAGGATTTCGGCACCGTTTGTATCGGGGGAGATTTCCCCCACACACTTGAAAGTAAGCTGTGCTTTGCCTTTGCTGCTCGGGAAAAGCTAGCTCTCCGCTGGAGAATGCACAGCCAGCCCGCAGGTCTGCATGTACCCCAAGTCCTCCCTTCCTCCTCCCATTCACCGGTTAGTGAAATGAGGGAAAGCATCCATCAAACCGCAGAAGCAGCAGCGCAGAGCGCAGAGGGGAACTTTTCCCCGGCTGTCAGAGGGGAAGTCACTTCTGCTTCTCAAGGCCAAGAGCTGAGTCTGGGAACCTCCCGGACTAGGCAGTAGGGTTTGGCAATAAAGGAGACAGGGAGAAAACAATGCCCAGCCCGCGGTGCCTGCCTGGGGGCAATGAACATCCTGCCGGGGGTCCCCTACCTCCCCGCGACACCCACACCCACGCTCTGGGCCGCCGCGGCTCCGCTTACCTTGATGATGCTGCTGCGCCGGGGGGTCGCTCGCGCAGCCTCCAGGAGGCCGGCCTCGCTGTCCCCGGGGACCCCTGCAGCGCCCGGCAGTGCGACCCCGCTGCGACGGTCCCTCATCCGGCCACCGGAGGCCGCGGGTGCGGCGTCCCCGGCGGCAGCGTCGGCGGCGGCTCGGGGGTCGTCTTCGCCTGCGGCAGCGTCGAGAGGCACCGGACCCTCCCTGGCAGCCGCGCCCTCAGCCATGGCCAAGCACGTTCCGGGGTTGGGGGGTGGGGGGTGGGGGTGCTCCGGGCGAGACAGCACGACTGGCCCCGGGTGTCCGGCTCCTGGCACGGGTGCGCTCAGGCACGGGGAGGAAGCCCCGCTGGACTTGGTTTCAGCGCCCGACGGCGGCTGCCGCGGCGGCGGCGGCTGCAACTTTATGGAGAGGAGACATCGCTGGGGCAGAGGCGTCCTCGGGCTGTGGTCCAGGAGGTCAAGCGGGCCGGCGCGGGCTGGCGGGGAGGGCGGGGAGAAGATGTGAGCGGGAGGGAGAAGCAGGCGAAAAGCCGCGGGAGGGACCGGAGACGTGATGCCAACGCGCCGGGCTCCGCGCAGACAGACAAAAGGCGGCCGGGCGGCCGGGCAGCCGGGCCGGGAGCCTCGCGAGCCAGCCGGGGACGCGCGCGGGCGCGGAGCGGCGGTGACTGCGGACGGGCCACCCCGCCACCTGCCCGCCGACCGCGGCGCGGCGGCCCCAGGAAGTGCGGCGGCGGCGGCGGCGGCCTCCACTCCGCTCGCCCGTGACCGGGAGGGGAAAAGACTTGTTTTGACAGCCCGTGGGGGATTGGCAGGCGTGCGAGCCTCTCAGGAGCCGAGCCTCGCCGGAGGGGGGTTCGTCCCGGCCAATCCTCACTGCGGAGGGGTGTGCCCGAGCGCGAAGAATGGAATGTGTTTCTGGAGCTCCCCTGCCCGCCCGGCCCCCCGCTCCCCGTGTGCTCGGCGAGGGTGCGCGCGCCTGGGTGCGCACCCACCCGCAGGCACTCCGAGTACCTTTTAGGAAGTTTAGCAACGCCGAAGCAGCCCGAAGGTGCACCAAAAATGGGGGGGAAGGGGGAGGGGGGTTGGAAGAGGTGGGGGCAGGGAGAAGCCGGAGGAAACACTCTGCAGAACAGCAGCAGATCTGGAAGAAAGCGGGTGTTGGGTGAGAATGTCAGGGTGTTTGGTGTGCTGGTGACCCTTGGCTCTCCGGCCAGTCCTTAGAAGTCCAGTCGGTGCGGAGATAAACTAGGGTTTACGAGAACCCTGGAGTTTTACAGTTTGCTTCAGGTTCTGTGAACGGATTCTACATTCACTCAGCAATCTGAGTAAATGTGACAAGGAGTTGGATGGAAGGGGTAGAAGGGTAAGAGGGAACAGACCAACTAAAACCCTGGGGACGACGCCTAATGAACACCGATATGATGGAAGCCGTAGAACTACAAGGTCACTGGCAGGTTTAGTCTCTACACTAAAACGTTCCCATTTGACAAGGGTTTATTCAGCCTCCTTTCTACATCTAATTCTAAATAAACCCATTTTTCTCCTTCCACCGAGATAGTAACCAAGAGGAGAGATCTTTGCGTGGAGCAGCGATTCAATAGAATTAACCACACCACGAGCAAATGCAGACAACGGCTCTAAGGTCCCTAGAGAGATGGAAGGCAGCATTTTTATTTAAAAGATTTGGAGCATTGAGGTCTGCATCAAACCTCACTTAGAGCATTAAATGTATTTCAATTACTAATTATTTCATAATTCAAGATTTTGTTTTTCCTTGGCTCTGCCAAGAGCACCAAGAAATTCTTCAGCCCTGCAGACCCAGAAATTGATTGGCATTCTAGCGTTTTAAGGGCGCCCTGGGGTCTTGGGGATCATCCAGGGCAGCTCTTATTTAACCGAAGAAATGAGCCTTGCCGGTAGCTGGTTAGTGCAGCCGCTGACATCAGCTCTGCCACCCAGCTCCTTTGACGCATCTCTTCACTTTTTTATCTATATCCCCCGGGGCTACAGTCAGAACTGTATGGGGCTCCTGGGAAGATTCATATTTGACATTTACCATCTTCTGGGAAAGACTTGACTTTACCTTTTCTTGAATGTCCTACAGATGAACAGCGAGCTCCGGTTTTAGAAGCAACAGCGCCCTCTAGTGGAAGGATGAGAACTACATCCCAAACAGCAAGTGCTAGTTCACAGCCCTGTTACATGGAAAATACTTTTATTTTGTCCTCAGAAATATAACCGATTTTAGGCTATGATTTTTCTGGTACTCAGTGATTATTACATGTCACTTCTGTTCTTTACAGCTATCCATGCTTCGGTTTTCTCTATTACTTTAATAAAAATTTCCATTTATGAAGTGTTGCAGTTATCTTACTCATCTGATCTGAGCTAACTCATCTAACACTAAAAGTCAGTGGCTTTCAAATAAGGAAAAGCCAGAAAGTACAGAATACAGTTTGCAAAATGTTTTGTCTCAATTCAAAATGTCCAAGTTGGGCTCTCATACGGTCTCTTCATTAGCAGTCTTCCATTGTGTCTTCTGTGAACACAAATGCACAGGAACTGATAACTACTCTGAGCATCTCTTTGTGAAGGCTGCCTCATTCACCCGGCCTTGAGAATATTGGAATACATGTGGAGAGGTTTTTGTTGTTCTGTTCTCTTCTGCCATCAGCTCAGAAGGCTTCTGTGCCTGCAATTTTACATTTTAAAAAATGCCCTGTGTGCCTGCCTACCTCACAGAGGCCAGAAGTCTGAGAAAGAAGAGACCAAGGCCACAATTTCCTTCAAGGGCATTCTCCCAGTGCAGTAAAAACTCCCAATAGGTCCCAACTCTTAAGGTCTACCACCTCCCAAGACAGCAAAGCTTCTGACTAAACCTTTAATACATGGGGTCTAAGGGACATGTGCTATGGGATGTCTTTCTGTATGCTATGAATATGTATTGCTCTGATTTGTTGACAGATAAAGCTGCATTGGTCAATGAATGGCAGGGCAGGATGGAGCCAGGCAGGAAAATCCAAGCGAGATAGTTAGAGGAGAAAGAAGAGGAAGAGGAGACGTGAGCCAGCCGCCCAAGGAGCAACAAGATGCCGCCAACAAACCAGTAACACCAGGGCCACATGGCAAAACATAGATTAATAGAAATGGGTTAATTTAAGATGAAAGAGCTAGCTATCAAGAAGCCTGCCATAGGTCATACAGTTGATAATTAATATAAGCCTCTGAGTGATTATTTTATAAGTGTCTGTGGGACATCACCACTGGGCAGAACACAAGAAAACTTCTGACTACAGACATTCAAGATCCAAACTATAGGAGCAATGAAGCTGGGGTCGTTACCAGAGGTCCTCATGACTAACATGAAAGGTGCTGGGTGGGTAGGAATGGTTTTTCGGTCTCTGAGACAGCCATGACTGAATGGGACTTGCACATTATGAGAAATACAAGCATCAGGAAGGGCTCAGGCTTTGAAATCACCATCTAGAACACAATGATTCCCTTGCTTTTTAGCTGGTTGTAGCTTTCAGCAAATGACTTGAAACTTAATTTTTAACTATGTTTTATTCATTTCTCGTGGTGTGTGTTGTGTGTGTGCATGTGTGTGTGTTGTGTGTGCATGTGTGGTGTGTGTGTATGTAGGCTATAGGATAACTTCCAGCAATTGGTTCTCTCCTCCCACCACGTGGGTCCCAGGAATTGAAATCAAGTTGACAGCTTTGGTGGTAGGTGTCTTCATCCACTGCAAGCCTCTACTTGAAACTTTTGAGTCTCAGTTTTCTTATCTTTAAAGTGGAGTTCACATTTTTTTCTTTGTTTGTTTTTCAAGACAGAGTTTCTCTGTGTGGCCCTGACTGTCCTGGAACTTGCTCTGTAGACCAGGCTGGTCTCAAATTCAGAGAGATCCTGCCTCTGCCTCCCGAGTATTGAAATTAAAGGCGTGTGCCACCACTATCAGATGAGTTCAGAATTCTTTATAGAGGATTATCTGGCACATAGAAAGTAGTTATCGGAGGCTGGAGAGATAGCTCAGTGGTTAAAAGCACTGACTGCTCTTCCAAAGGACCTAGGTTTGATTCCCAGCACCCACATGGCAGCTCACAACTGTCTGTAACTCCAATTCCAGGAGACCCAATACCCATGCCAAAACACCAATGCACATAAAGTAAAAATAATTTTTTTAAAAAAGTAGTTATCAAAATGATTCTTCCCTCTGTAACTTCTCAGCAATACTGGAAGCCTTGGTTTTCTCACTGGCTATTTCTTAGGTCCTGAAGTGAGTTCTTCAGATGAGCAGAATCAAGCTGACCTATCAGGTCTTTGACTTTCTGATGTGGAAAAATCTTTTTGTACACTGTGAATGTGTCGCTTTGATTGGTTTAATAAAAAGTTGAACAGCCAATAGTTAGGCAGGATTTTGGGGCAGAGAGAAAGCTGAGAAGAAGGGTGGAGTCAAAAGGAGATGAGTCTCCCAGTTGTTGCCTGAGGGCTTGAGCCACCATGAGCTAAGCTACATGGTGGTTTAAGATTTTGCTCATGCAGACAGAAGTTTACAGATACTCAGTAAAGCAGATTCAGATGGAAAAAAAAATGCTAAACAGGTTACAGTGTGTTTAACAATATGTGTAGGCTTAAGGGGGAAAGAGGATATAGACAGTCATAAGAAATAGTTTAAAGGGGCTGGAGAGATGGCTCAGAGGTTAAGAGCACTGACTGCTCTTCCAGAGGTCCTGAGTTCAATTCCCAGCAACCACATGGTGGGTCACAACCACCTGTAAATGAGATCTGGTGCCCTCTTCTGGCCTGCAGTCATATATGCTGTATACATAATAAATAAATAAATCTTAAAAAAAAAAGAAATAGTTTAAAATAATAAAATAAAGTCTTTAAAGAAAGAAGTAATAAAAAAGAGTAAGCCACAAAGAGATGGAAAATAAAATAGACAGGGAATCTGGATCTTGTATGTTCTTATGTTGTCTTTGAATTTTTTGATTGCTGATAAGCAAATGACAGCTGCTGGGAGACATGGCATTGTGAAAGGGACTGCTGAAATAAACCAGCCTAGAAACTTTAAGAATGCCTTAACTTTAAAAAGGGAGTCAAAAAATATATTGATTTGGGGAAGATGTTATGCTTTTGTTTCCACAAGAAAAGGCTTTGGATTCATTCAAGGTTGGTAGAGAACAGATTTGATTGAGGAAGACCCCCCCCCCCCCGTGAAAATCCTGGCTACATACGTAAAGAAATAAACCTAAAACAAACTAATAAAACTACAAGAGAGATGATACGTATTTTACCTGCTCAAACATAAAACAAAAAATAATCTTTGGCTGGCTTGTGTTAATGCAGATATGTATGTTACCTTTGAAAGTTTATGTGTTTTCAGAGCAAGGGACCAGACACCAGTGAAAATGGGTGGCCCAGGTGATCCAGCCTCTCAGAGTGCCTTTGTTATGGTTTCCTCAGAGTTCTACATCCAGAACAGCTTCAAGGCTTTTGGCTGCCAGAGTCCAGCCTCACAGACTATTCTAGCAGGACTTGACCATTCTCCTAACTTTCTCAGGGTCCCCCAAAGATGCCAGTACCCCAAGACAACAGTAAGCAGTCTAGAGAACATGATGCTCACATTCCTAAGAGGTGAGGTGGATGGTTTTTGGTCATTCAGTGGGTTATGGGTGTTTATCATCATTTAAGGGGGTTGGTTACAAGTTGTTATTGGTCATGGTCAGGAAGGATACTAAGCAAAGGAAATTAGTTTCAGGGAATTAAAGACTAAATAGCTATAGTTTTCTTTAGTTAAGATAGAAGATTAATTAGTATAAAACTTTGGATTCATCAAGAAAGGATAGATAATGGAGTATTTTCTCTGAATTTACCAAATACAAATGGATTGGACATTGTGAATGTAATTCTTACTTGATAATTGTTCTTATTGTATACAGTTTCATTTGTTAAAGTTAATAGCTTTCCTTTCTATTTAGACAATGCCTGATAATTATTATTACTGTATATAGTTTTACTATGTTAGAGTTAGAGCCTTCCCTTTTTTATTTAAACAAAAAAAGGGGAAATGCTGTGAAATAATCTTTTTGTACACTGTGAATATGTGTCACTCTGATTGGTTTAATAAAAAGCTGAATGGTGAATAGCTAGGCAGGATTTGGGGGGCAGAGAGAATGCTGGGAAGAAGAAGGGCAGAGTCCCAAGGAGACACGGAGGAAGCATGACATGTAGGAGATGAGGTAACAAGCCATGAACCACATGACAGCACGTAAATAAATAGAAATGGGTTAATTTAAGTTATAAGAGCTAGTAGAAACAAGCCTAGGCTATCAGCCAAGCTTTTGTAATTAATAAGTCTCCATGTGGTTATTTGGGAGCTGGCTGGTGAGACAGAGAAAAACTCACTACAACTTTCAGTTATATATTCAAGTTGATTAGACCTGGCTAGGCGTCTGTTTAGTTGTCATTCAGTTGCGTCTCAGATTTCTAGTTCCTCCAACTTCCAAATGCTCTCAGCTTGTTTTGCCTCTACTTACTCTGATCTTTGATTTCTACCCTCGAGTGGATTCTAGGACCCTTAAGGATTAAGGGGGAAGTGATAAGGTCATTTTTTTAACCAAAGTGATTGTTTTATCTAATTGGAATACTATAGAAATCTTCCTATAAATATCTTTGGAACACTTGCTCTGTGTCAGGCAGTTCTGGAAACTAACGATTAAAATTAGCGAAGTTTTACAGAGAAATTACATCCGATACTTCAGAAAGACAAATAGGGGTCAGTATAACAGGCCATACAATTAAGTATCTCCACAGACAGGACACCCCAGCACACTCCCATCTTCCAAGCTACCAATCCAGGAATTGCCGACAGGATTCATAAAAAGAAAGAAGGCTCAGACTGTGGGTGAAATAATTCAGCAATTAATGTAGAGGTAAGAATGTGATCATAGCTGCTGGCTTAACTAAATACCTTCTGAAGACCTTCTCCGAGGTCTCCAAAGCCGTGAAGGAGCTTTGTCCTTGGGCTGCATTTTCTAATACGCAAGTCGCACCTTAGACCAAAGCAGCAAGGTCAGTACGGCAGACTGCAATCTCCAAAACTGTGAACTAAAGGACTTTCCCCCCGTGTTGATTTACTTCAGTTATTTAATACAGTGTTTGAAAGCTGATTAACACAATTTGTAGGTTATCAACACAACCAGTTGATGGGTGTGAAGGAACACACGTATTCTCTCATCCACCTGTTTATAATACTTCAATGTGATGGGCCAGTTTTCTTGATAAACTCTACTAAATGTGATCTGGGAAGAACACAGCACTTTCAGCTGAATTACTCCAGCTCACCCGAG